GATCAATGTTTTGGTATCATGTTGGTCAAGCATAAAATTGCAAGACGTATGATTTCTAAATACTCGAAAAAGTTAAACTCACCAAACTAAATTTTGCAAATTTCTTTTAACGATTAAACAACTTAATTAATTAAAGAGTCATATGACCAAAGCAATTCTTCCAAACAAACTCAAAAACAGGATTTTCTTAAAATCAAATCCAAATATTTAAAAGTAAATCAAAATTAAGAAGTCACATTGAGATTTAAAGAAAATGTAAGAAGGATTATAATCAAAATGGTACTTCTTTTTTTCTATATAAAGTTCGATATCTTTGTTTATTAGTGAAAAGCAATTGACCTCTAATTTTATTATGAGTTATGAAAACAAAGAAATATAGAGGAACATATACTTTTATCACCTTATGTTATTTGTCTATATTATTAAAAAAATATGTCTTCTAAATTATTCATCAATTTATAAAATCAAAATAAAATTAATTAATTTTTTTTTCCATTTTATTTTTAAAATAAATTCATTTTGAAAGTTTAAATATAGTATAATTTCTTAAGATAGAAAGAGTATATGAGAACACACTATCAAATCAATACTCCCTCCGTCCACTTTTAATTGTCATAGTTTCCTTTTTGAAAGATATGCTATCTATCTGCACAATATGAAAGTTGTTGTAACAGTCATTGATAAAAATAAAAAATCTGTAAAATAATGTTTTGCTTTCACCATTTGAATTTCAAGAATCCATTAGAGTTTGTTGTGTTTATTGGTGTAAAATGGTATAAAGCTCCAAACTTTATCTTTAAGAAGTCATTATTTTTGACACCCAAGTTGTTGATTTTGTGTTTTTTAATTGTTTCTCAAAGACCTTTTTTATTTCACCATTTCAAATTCAAGAATTTGTTCTGTATTTATCAATCGCTTAATCTTGATATATAATTGTTCTGTTACTAATCTGCTCGAATGAATCTCGAAGTTGATAAATATATTCTAAGAGATTTTGATGGAGGATGAGAAGAAGTAAAGGGTAGCAAATAAGTTATCAGTGAAGTCTTATGAAAAAGATGACTAAACTCTCTATAGGTAATACCTCTTCTTCGAGTGCTTCATGACGACGAATGTTATCAACTTCATGAACAATCAGTAAAATCATGTTTTAGGAGAACTTTATCCTCACAGAATGACTATCAAATATAAACAAACAAATGCAGAACACAAGAATATGATTAAAAAAAAAACCTTTACATCAGCGAGTACTTCTGTTTGCACTCAAATAAAATATATAGAATAGTTCTATTTTGAAGAGGAAAATTATGTTTTAGATACATTAATTTTGCAGGCTGCAACTGAATGGTGGTTTGTCACCAGATTTGGAGTTTATTTATGTTGGTTGTTGGGAAGTTGCATGTTGAATTAAATGAGCAAGAAGATGAAGACGTTGTAAGATCTTTAGTTATGAAACACTTAGTAGATTGTAAAAACTATAAAGAGTGTAAAAAAATCCTCTTGGTACTTTGATGAAGGAACATGTCAAGTTAGGACTGATCATCATCTTCTATAAAAATATGTTACACACACAAATGGGTGTATATATATGAATAACTTTTTACTAATTATCGCCATATGAATATTTGTGATAGATATATTGGGCCCGTGCTATCATTGTCTAGTTGTCATATAAACAAGGGATCCCTATAAACAATAAGCCAACTGACATTACCAAGTGGAATGAGCTCATATTTTCAGATCTTACTCTATGTAATTTATTATATTTAAATTATTTAAGGAAAATAGAATTATATAGTAATTTGTAATGATGGTTATCACTTTTTAATACTTAAAAACTTATTCAAAATAATATTCATGATTATCATTAAAAAAAAATTAACATGTGTAGGGTGAATTAAAGTAAAAAAAGTATTTATTTATTTTATACGAAAAAGAACTTCATTTCTCAAATGAATTTTGTGATTTATTAAGATTTTTAACCAGTTGAAGGTTGGGTTTGCTGCGAATGTCATTTTAAATTTGTAGTTAATATTTAAAGTTATTCGATGAAAACTTGATTTATTTTTCTGAATGTAATTTTGTATAAATTTGTATAGTTTCATATATATATTTATTTATACAAGGTTGATATATTATTTATAATAAATGTATAAACACTGCTATTAAAAAATTAGTAATGTGAGTATAAACTGAAAGTATAACTATGTGGATGTAATATATTATGTTCGGTTGTATATATTTGAAAAAAATCCTTGATAAATTTAGTTATTTGCAAGAAAATAAAATGTACAATATGATAAAAATATATTTAAAACAATTTCACTACAATTCATATAATTTGGACCCAAATAAATCTGGCAGATAAAAAGAGTTACAGGTAGGGTTGGATATAGGGTACAATTGAATCATCATATCGAAATTGAAATTTCTGATGCCACAATTTCAGTGTTATTAATATGCATTTTAAAACCCCATGATATTCGATATGGAATTTGATATTTATATAAAAATAAGTTATTGAAATATACCGTGTTAAAGTATATAATTATATATACTATTCACGTATCATTAAAATAACACTAGAAAATATATAAATTAGTACTAGCATAAAACCAATTGTTTAGTTGTGAAATTTTTGACTACTTTATCTTGATTGAAATATCATTTTTTTTGTTTAATTGATTAATGATGAAAATTGTTTATAATTTCTTTTGAATATTTTTACATGTATAAGGTGTTACTATGATACAACCGAAATCTTTTTTTTAAAAGTCAAAGTCATGATTCTCTAATATATGAGTATCTATAAGTCAAAGTCAAGTAGCTTATGATTACCAAATTAAGATAATGCAAAATATCGAAACGAATTATTTTTAAATCATAATGGATGAATTTGCTAAAATAATGGTATAATATTTTTAAAAATTGAAAACGAAAATAATTGAGCTGAAGTTTTCAATATTATACCAAGTCCACATATGAGTGTTTAAAACAAACCATAGTCGATAACTTAAAAGAAAAGGTGTAATCAAATTATTGATATCGAGTTATCAGATTAACGGTTTGAGAGTGATTTAGAATTTTATAAATGACAAAATATCAATTTGAGATTAGACTGTCTAATTTTTATTTAAAATTGGATAAATCAATAATCAATGACCTGTTAATTTAGTACCCTTTAGGGGTGTACATGGCCGGGTTGGTTCGGGTTTTTCAAATATCAAATCAAACCATTTGTGTCGGATTTTTAAATTTATGAACCAAACCAAACCAATAAAACTCGGTTTTTCAACCTTGGGTTTTTTCGGGTTTTTCCGGTAAAGTATTCATACACAACATATAATTTACTTGTACTTCAAATATTTCTTTAGTCATACCAAAATACAACTATCTAAGATGTTTCTTAAAAATATAACACAATATGATATGATTAATGACACTAAAATATCCAACAAAAATAATAATAATGAAATCGCGTAAAACAAATATTGCAAATTAACAAGTCAGAATGAAAATGATCATAATTTAAAAGTACTAAATCATGCTAAAATTAAGTTTAATAAGTATTAGTTACATGACTAAATATTAAAGAAAATTAAAATTAGATTATGTATTTTAATTGTCTAAACCAATGTAAAACTAAAGAACAAATATTCAATATTATTGTCATTCTTAGTGTTGAATTGATTTTCTTTTTGCATTAGTATTAATTTGATTTTGATTTAAGCTTTATTATAATTACCAACATATGTGGACTATAATCTTTATTGGCCTATTCATAATTCTAAGTTTCAAACTTGAAATAATATATTAAAAGATAAAAACTATGGAAAAGTATAAGAAATATTTAAAAATTATATCAAAGTAAATATTTTTATGTATAAATAAAATTTTAAAATTATATATATAAATTCGGGTTGGGTTGGTCTCGGGTTGATTTTTTTTAGTTAAAACCAAACCAACCCAAATATAGTCGAGTTTTTTTTTTTCAAAATCAAACCAAGTCAAACCAAACCACTAGTCGGGTTTTTTTTCCGGATTGACTCGATTTGCGGTTTGGTTCGGTTCTCGATTCGGTTTTGTACACCCCTAGTACCCTTGACTACAATGACGTATTTATCTTACAACCTTGTTGTCATAAAATGATATTATATACTCCATTCAATTTATGTAACATTTTATGAATTGTGAGATTCAAATAAGTTTATCTTTGACAGTAAATTTTTCGTATATCTTTTAATTATTTTGAATTGTCAATTATTGCGACTACTTTACATAGTTTACAAATATATAAATTTCATTTCAAAAAAATTGAAGATTCCACACACAAATTTCTGATCAAACTTAAATTGTTTGATTTTCGAAAAATGAAAAGTATCACATAAATTGAGATAGAAGAAGTATGTTTTTTTGTGTGAATGATTTGCATGAGTTACAATATTTTATTGAATGTGATAAACATTTCAGGTGAAAGAAGCTGCTCACTCTTTTGATATTCATGTTATGAATGACGATAATCGATAAGTAATCGGTAAATCAAATTGGAATGAATCAATATCTTATTGATTTTATAGCGGTTAGACATATATATAAATCGATAAATCATATCGTTAAGTACGAAAATTGAACTAAACCACCCTATAACCATCCCTAGATACAAGGAATAATAGTAGTAAGATTTTATTTAATTAATATCACCAACTCGTTGAAAATTTCAATTTTGCCAAACACGAGAAAAAAAGGAACAAAAAATACGTAATTAAGATAAAAGAATAATGAAGCTTCTCAAAAACAATAATAATAATATGAAGCTTCTGTATTCGGAGTGTAACAAATTCGAATTTACGCCAGAAATAAACACAATTTTGTATTTGAGTAGGACTTGAGTCTGAGACGCCTAATTAAGTATGAACGAGTACTTACTGCTCTATTACAAATCCTCGTTCGTCTCGTCAAATAAGCTTCATCTCCGAATTTAATTTGAAATTCAATTCAATTTCATTCAAACATTCACAGCCTTACAAAGGAACATAAGCGACGATACACACGGCGCCGCCGCAGCGTCTCCCCCGCCGCCGCCACCACCACCACTACCGCCGCTCAACAATACTCTCTCATAATAATCCACACAAAACAGCGACAACGATAACTCGACTTCATGACGAGTCCAATAAACTCGCCTCACAATCTCCGAATCAGATTCCATTCCAATCGGCCTCCATTTTCGCAATCGATTCAACACTGGCCTCACGCAGACCATATACAGCCGTCGGTACCCTCCGAGCGCCAAAACCACCGTCCTCACACCTTCCAGCGGCGGCGACACGTGGCGGAAGCAGAGATGCTCCCAGAGAGAATCGTTCCGAGCGATACCGCACCAGAGCTTACATACACAGGCAGCTACTCCCAATGAACGGCCGTCGAGCCTCTTCAATATCTCAATCAATACATCCTCATTATCATTGATGAAAAAATTGGTACCCATTGTTCACACAAATTTTCAGGAATGTAATGGTTAGTTAAAGGTTGAGATAAGGAAGTAAAGAGAGAAGTAATGCCTATTTGTAGAGAAGATATCGAGAGTGTAAAGGATTTTGACTTTTTTTTTTTTTTTTTTTTGTGGTTTCCCATTTGGCGTCCAAAATTCATATGGATACTCGACTAAATTTGAATAGCACACTACAGGGTTCATTTGGAGTGATACTTTTAAAAGGATTTTTTCTTCATATTTGGAGTGATACTTTTAAAAAGACTTTTTCTTCATATCTCGAACTCAAATCGAGACATTAAGACATCTGATTAAGGATAAAACAGTCCTATCAATGCACTACAACTCATGGAGTTATGGTAAAAGATTTTGACTTAAAAGAGACACGCGAGAGTGTGAACTTATGAATTTCAAAGTAGGAAGAAGTAAACACGGATATAAGGGTTTAAGTTAAACAACTAATATATCCAAATAAAAAATAATTTTAATAACGTATAAATAATATTTCTTATATCAATTTATATGATTCACTTTCTTTTTTTAATCAATCCCATAAAAATAACATATTTTTATATTTAATAATAATTTAATAGACTATAAATTTCAAAAATCTTTATTTCTTAACCTTATGACAAGTCAAATTGCATTATATAAAATAAAACGAAGAAATATAATTTTTCATCGAAGAAGAAATTTAAATGAACCCTAACGCTTCATAGCTCCGTCCTTGGGGAGTGGTAGGTAGGTATCGAGGAGAGAAGAGAAGAAGCCAAAAGGAAAAGTTAAAAAGGGGCAAAAGAGTTGGAACAAAGAATCCAAAACTAGCTTCTCAATTATTAGATTGAACTTTGAAGGGTGAGATGTTAGAAATTCGGAGTTATCCATACGGATTTTAACTTGATGGATTTGACTTTTACTTGTTGTATTTTTAATATTATGAGCTCAAATTTAATTTTTATTGTAATTTTATTAAGTCTTCACATAGTTTCTTTATTTTTAGTTTATGTATCTTATTTTTGTAGGTTTCAAATCAAAATAATTAGAATTTTTAGCTTATGGGTTCTGTAGGTGTTATTATAATCTTTTTTGTATATTGGGCTTTAAATTTTTTCAAATACAAATAGTTTACGTCAAAGTTATTGGATTCTATTGAATCGAAGTTTGATGTTCATGACTTAAAAAATAATGTCATTTTCCATATTTGATGGTTTTTACTAGCAAATATATGAGATGCTAAAAAATTAAAGAGCATTTTAGTATGTTATACACACTTTTAATTTAAAATAATAATATTAAAAAAAATCATTACATTCTTAAATTTAAAATCCAATGAAAATTTATATAAAAAAATGGAGAAAAAGCACATGTTATGATATGCATAAAAAATATTAGGTTCAGACGAAGTATGGATCGAATTTGCCACTTGTGGAAGATGCATTTAAAGCTTACGGGAAAATGTGTTATTTTTTTCGTTCGGTATCTAGTACTTGTATTGGAGTCAGAGTAATTAAAATTCGCGTCACGTGGGGCTCCATTCGGGGGAATTGGGAAGTACTCTTTGTCAAAGATTTTTCTATATCCAAAGCTCGAACCTAAGACCTCTAGTTAAAGAAGGAGTAGTTTCACCCGTTATACCATGTCCTTTGAGGAGGGGGAACCTAAATAAGCCACAAACACATAAAAGTGACCAAAATAAGCCACTACTTTAGGAAGTAACTAAAATAGGCTTAGTGGAAGAAAAATTTCCACTTTATCTAATATTCTAAACGTTTTCCGTTAGTGCCATAACGGATATATTTTAATATATAACGGAACTATTTCCTACACTATATAAAATGGAACTATTTCTTACACTTTATAAAGTGTAAGTTTTTCTTACACTTTATAAAGTGTAAGTTTTTCTTACACTTTGTAAAGTGGAGCTTTTTCTTACACTTTGTAAAGTGGAACTTTTTCTTACACTTTATAAAGTGGAAGAAAAAATTCCACTTTACAAAGAGGAATATTTTTCATGTTATCTCTTTATCTTTTTTGCAGTGTTTGTGTCATACAATCAATTATATTGATTTGACATATCATAAAAACGGAAAAAATTATTCCACTATGTATTTTAAATTTTTTATCCTGAAAAATCCTCCAATCTCTATTTAAGGAGGATGTTCAAACATAGTTGATAGCACCTACAACATAAAGTCTTCTATATTTGTTCATTTCAATCTCAAAAAAAAAATGTCTTCTAAACCAAAAGTTAGAGTTTCGATTTATTGGGATGGCGAAATTATACATAACGGAAATACCGTTTATTATAATTGTCCTCCCAAACACAATGCTAAATATTCAATTAATGTCTGCTATCATAAATTTCTTTCATCAATTTATAAAAGAATGAGTATAAATAGTACTGATTATAATTTGATTATAGTCGGAAAATACCCTACTTCATTTTTATCACAAGGACAAGTAAATTTTGGAGAGTGGATTATCTATAATGACGAATCGTTGACCGACTTTTTGAGGGTTCCAAATGACTTCATAGATCAAATCAAGTTAACAATACTTGAAATCTATGTTAGGAAGGAGCCTAAGACTAGTCAACAACGTTCTCCTTTATTGGTCGATGTCCATCCCCGATTAGAAAATCGTAATAGCGTTGATGGATTTCCGATAACTCAATCTACTGATTTTTCTAACATGACTCATTATCAAAATATTCTTACCGGTCGATATGATGTTGATTTGAACGAAACTATCAATGAAAGTGACCGGTAATGCTCAATAATTATATTTCGATTATTATTTGTTGATTTTGTCAATTATTTATTAATTTATATGATTTATTATTCTTATTCTTATTATTATTATTATTATTATTATATATTTTGTAGCGGTTTACCTCAGCAAGATAGGAATATTGCTTCAAGTTATGGACTAGATAATTATTTTGGTCAGTCCTCACACTTTCAAATGATGGAAAATGTCGGGACATCCTCAAATTTTCATGTCTCGCCTACTTTTGATACAGATGATTGTCGGTATGTCCAACACTTGATTTTTTATTTAAGTAAGTTAATTGCATGAGACAAATATTTATACTTTTTTACATATATAGGGAAAATATCACACAAGATGAGCCCATTGATCCTGTGAATATCGATGATCGTGACCTTCCAAATTACGGCTCACCTTCAGCTAGTGATAGTGATGATTTGCCTAATGCCGAGGAATCAGGAGATAATGTTCCATTTGAGGTATCATCTAGTGATGATGATTTTTTAATGCCCAATCGGTCGCCAAGACCAATGTCCATGAGTCCTTTTTGTAGTCATGAAATTCCTTATCTGGATCATCTCCAAGATGGTCCAGATATCTTTGGCGATACACATGATGAATATACATCACAACGTACATGGGGTGAACCGGAAGATTTCATGAATGGTGTTATTTATATTGAAAAAGGCATGTTGTTCAATTCAAAGAAGCAGTTGCAAAGAGCAGTTAAGCTTCTACATTTAAAGATAGCGAGGGAGTACTTTGTTATTAAATCGACAAAGAAATCATGGCGACTTGTTTGCAGGCGTGTAGAACAAGGATGTCGATTTAGGCTAACTTCTTTTAATGATAAACATACTAACATGTGGAAAGTTGGAAGATACATTAAAGAACATACATGTGATATGGGTACGTGCCGCGATGGACATTTCAACTTGGATGTTGAGATGATTGCTAACGTCCTTCGTGTTGATATAGAAAAAACGCCAAGGTACTATTTTATCCTTAGATGATTTTTCTTTAATAAGAAAATATTCATTTTTTATTTGATAATTAATATTATTTTTACTTTTTAGGTTTCCCATCAAAGATTGTCAAACAGCGGTTCTTAAAGCATATGGCATTTCGATAAGCAGAAAAAAAGCATATCTTGGTCGCAAGCGTGCTTTTGAAAAAGTCTATGGTACTTGGGAGGGTTCTTTTTCCGAGTTGCCGAGGTTCATGGAAGCTTTGAAACACTTCAATCCCGGAACAATAGTTGAATGGAAAACAGAGCGGCGTGTCGATGTCATTGAAGATGTATTCAACTATGTGTTCTGGACTTTTAAACCATGCATTGATGGGTTTGTGTTTTGTCGTCCTGTTATATCGATCGACGGAACACATGTCTATGGAAAATATGATATCAAGTTGTTGATTGCGATTGCAACGGATGGTAACGGCTCAATATTACCTTTGGCATTTGCAATAGTTGCGAATGAGAGCATGGAGACATGGAGTTTATTTTTGGATCATTTGCACTTGCACGTTGTCAAGGGTCGTAGAGGTGTGGCATTGATTTCAGATAGGCATCACGGAATACTCTCATCCGTGTATAATTCTCCCAATTGGCAGGCCCCATTTGGGTTCCATCGTTTTTGTTTAAGACATTTGAAGGCCAATTTTCAAAAAAAATTCAAAAATGTCATTTTAAACAACCTTTTATGGGCAGCTGCAAATCACTGTCAGGAGAAAAAGTTTTTGGAAAAAATGGAGATGATCAAGGAGATTAACCCGGAAGCATATGTGTGGTTAATGAAGAACGATCTTGACAAATGGACATTGCACATGGATGGAGGTAGGAGATGGGGCATGTTGACAACAAACAGTTCCGAGTCATTCAATGGTCTTCTTAAGTCAGCCAGGGGCCTGCCAGTTACTGCAATGGTAAGACTCACTTACAATCAGATTGTGAACCGATTTGTTACAAGATCAAAATTTGTCAATCAGCTAGTGCAACAAAAGCAACAATGGATGCCTAAACCATTCAAGATTTTTGAGGATAATCGAAAAAAGTCACAGCGTCACACACTTATCAACTATCACCAACAAAGGGAAAACATATTTGAGGTGCAGACACATATGCATCATGGCAGTGGTGGTAATAAGCACATTGTAAATGCATCACAAGGAAAATGTCAATGTGGTAAATGGCAATCATACCACATTCCGTGTTCTCATGCAATAAAGGGATTTGACCAAATTGGGTATCAAGCATGGGAGCATATGGCACCAGAATTTAGCGTGCGTAGCTACAAAAAAGCCTACTCTGGACAATTCAATCCACTCGGCGGTGAAAAATATTGGCCTGATAGTCCTTTTCTTATGATAGCAAATAAAAAATATTTACGAAAAGTGGGCGTAAATAAAATCACCCGTATACATAATGAAATGGATGTTCCCGCAAGTACACTTACTCGCAAATGTTCAACGTGCAAACAAATAGGCCATGATAGGCGTAACTGTCCTTCACAAGCTCGAAACGCCTCATATGGTGGTAGTAGCTAAAGAAAGATGTTTAATTGTGTTAATTTATTCTTGTATCAATTTCTATGCAACTTTTTATTTGTATTTTTGATCATCCCCAAGTGTTTATATTTTCAAATTTTTTCATTCACTTTTTTTTAAAAAAAAAATACATACACAAAATAATAACTATATATAATTAAAATAATAATACTATTCACCCTCAAAAAAAGATACATACACAAAAATAATAACTATATATAATTAAAATAATAATACTATTCACCCCAAAAAAAGATACATACACAAAAATAATAACTATATATAATTAAAATAATAATATTATACACCCTCAAAAAAGATACATACACAAAAATAATAACTATATATAATTAGAATAATAATAGTATACACCCTCAAAAAAGATATATAAAAAAGATTTTCTTCCACTTTATAAAGTGGAATATTTTCTTCCACTTTATAAAGTGGAAGAAAAAGTTCCACTTTACAAAGTGTAAGAAAAACTTACACTTTATAAAGTGTAAGAAATAGTTCCGTTATATATTAAAACATACACGTTATGAGACTAACGGAAAACGTTTAGAATATCAGATAAAGTGGAATTTTTTCTTCCACTAAGCCTATTTTAGTTACTTACAAAAGTAATAGCTTATTTTGGTCACTTTTATGTTTTTGTGGCTTATTTTGGTTCTGAACTCGTCCTTTGATGGTAACGTAGTTTGTTGTTTATGTTGTTGGTATATATATAGATTTCATTCAATTTCCAAATGATGACAGGATTTTTAGTGTCCATTATTTGTGTGTGAGAAAGAAGTCAGAGATGTGAACGTTATAGTCATGTTGTTTAGCGTAAGATGTGTTGTATTGATGTTAATGTTTTACTTTGTATGCATATGAATATGTCCACTATATAAATTTAATTATAATTTCAGTGAAACACTTCTAATTAAAAGTACTTACTTACTTTATTAGTGTCTTAATCATATTTAGAAAAGAACAATTACTAGCTACTTCATCACTTCGTTAGCCAAATCTTGCTCATATCCCAAGGTGGACCCACGTTAAGCCAGCAATTGTCAAACGACATCGCTTCGTTAACTTTGTTTACTCAATATATATATTAATATCATGCATAAAATAATATATTGAGCAAAATGATATTATTTGACAATAACACGTTGGTTCACTACCCAATTTTGTTCTTTGGGGTTGGAGGTTTTAACTAAGGATATTTTTTTGCACAATATAACATATTATTAATTGTGGTTAAGTAGTACTGAACCCAACTCAAGCAAACATGTATGTACATATTATATTATAAGTAAGGTAGAGATTTGGTATTTATGTACTTCTATATGTTATTTCATCTTCTATCATGCACATATTAATACATAGATATATTAATCCCTCTTAATATGTATTAGTCATGCAAATTTCTAAATTACAAATTAAATATCGTGAAATTAGAATTTTAATCTTATGAGTTCTGAATTTTATAGTAATGACTAATAATTGGGTTTTAAACTTAATAGTTGTACCTATTTAATAAACTTTTTAATAAAAATACATTATTTAAACAAAAATTACTGAATTCGATCGAACCCGTAACCTGACTTCTAACTCCGCCCGTGGATATGATTAATTGGTTGAACCATTAACATCCCTACTTACATATTATATTGCTATATGTCTAAAATTGATTGTCGTATCTATCTATCTCAAGCGATTAACGAAAAAAAGGAAAAGGTTGAGGACTTAAACTTTTTTAATATAAACGACAAATATTTGTGACTAATTTAATTAGTGATTAGTTTCCATTACTTGAATGATTAGAAATGATCCTTTGATTTATACACGACAACTTGAGGTTCATTATCATGTGTCATCTAATTGAATGATTTGATATGGATAAATACCAATCTTAATTATTTTGCACTATCTTAATCTAAGGATATTCTTAGTCTAAAAGTTGTGGGCTTATACATTGTATATAGATTTTCTATATTATTAGGTTAATTGTTTATTTGCTTACGATTTTAAGAAGACGGTTTGTTTTTTAATATTTGAATGTGCATGATTTATTTATTTTTAAACATAATAAATATATAATTTGTAAATAAAAAAGTAATTAAATATCTCAAAAATTTAAATTTAATAAAATATAAAATTGTTATTGGATTAAAACAAGTAAAACATTTACATTCGCAAATGATGGTTGAGATGATTTGTAGTGGTGGCTATGGTGATGGAATTGATGCTAGTGGCTATTAATGGTGATAGTGATAGGCTAATAGTTATGATGGTTGAGGTGATTGGTGTCATAGTAACTAGCACAATGGTGACGGTTGATAAAGTTGTTGCATGTTGGTGATTGTGGAATTGGTTGTTAGTAGTTGACGATGTTGGTGGTAGTAGTGGATTGATGATGATTAGTTGGCCGTGTTGATATTGATGATAATTGACAGTTGAGCTAGTTGTGAATTGTGATGGTAGAAGCGATTAATAGTAGAAATTATTCGCAATAATAATAATGATGGGTACGTAATGGATCTCCATATTAACCCTTTAGGAAACTATGGTGAGAGGCCGTTGAAGATTCATTTCAAAGAAGTCATTCAGGAACAAATGAACCGTTTTATACTTTAGGAATAAACAAAAAGAAATATTGATCATTTCTTTTTTAATCTTAGTAAAAATAGGAGTTAAGTGCCTCAAATTCAAAGAGTCATTCTTACTATCGATTTTTTAAAAAAATAAAAAATAAAAAATTATATATATATATATATATAAAAATTGTGTTTATTTATACTTTATGAACATAATTAAGGATGATGAATCAACTAATTGCTAGTATGATATTATATTCCCACCGTACAAAACGATAAAAAAAAAAACTACTTAATATATATGGCAGAGACAAAAGTCATATCATAAGATCTATTAATGCATGTTTTATTCTTTTTTATAATTATTATACACACATAAAAGAAGGGAATAAAATAAACAAATGTATCTTTTGAAAGTCCAATCAAATCAAAAGGTAGAAATTGATGGTCAGAGAAAACAGTAGTACCTATATATATGCTTGTCTCTTGGTGTACAAAGGGAAACCCCAAATTCCTATGAGACAGAAAGCATATATTTTCCGATATTTAAATTATCACTTTGAAATAGAATCTTCAATTGACATTATTTCTTTAACCCTTTATCAAAAAGGAAATTTATATATATTAAAAATAATTAAGTAAATAAAATATATCCTCTTTAAGTTAATAACTTTAATTTTTAGATAAAATAATTATATATTTTAATATAATATTAGAGTAAACAGAGATCTTGAGTTTGAGCACTCTCATTACAAACAAAAAAACTTTTACATTGATATATATATATATTCTTCAATTGATTATTAACTTTTTTTAATCTAAAAATAGGTTAATTAAAAAGTTAAAATAGAACAAGATTGAGATGGAATGTCAAAATAAAAATTTAAGACAATAGAGAGATAGTCTATATATGCAGGTGTTTAGCTAAACATCAACCGTTTCAAAAAAGCATATACTAATTTTTTTGCATATATATTAATTTTTGAATATTTTTGATAATATTTCTGACTTCGTCATTGTATGTATTTATTTAGGCCTGTTTCTAAGATAGGATGAGGAATAGGGTTAGGTTATGGGTAACTAGATATGGGGGTATCTAGAAGGAAAGAAACTAGTCATAGGGATAATTGTCTTTTAATGTGTTGGAATTAGTCTCTTGGGCATATATGAGAAGCACACACAACTATGGATTCTTGGTGAATTAAGAGCAATTTGATAATAGCAAACTTACAAACTTATGGAAAAAAATTCACATTTTTCACTCACTCCCTCAACGTCTCTTTTATGTTGTTTGTTTTTGTAAGATATTTGCTCTAAGCTAACAAGTCAATCATATATGGTTTTTAAAAATAATATCATGTCTAAACTACTATCATAGTCATTAAATTTTATAATTAATTAATTAAAATGGTTGAAGTCATGTCATTGCCGTTTTTAATATGCATGCCAACATAAGTTAATCATATGGTTTAAAACTATGTCTAAACTAATAATCATAAAATATATATATATATATATATATATATATATATATATATATATATATATTATAATTTAAAACCGTTGAAGTCATGTCATTGTCGTTTATTATAATATAATTTTATAATAATAAAATACATGCATGCCAACATACACTAAAATTATATATGTATATTTGTTATTGTTACTACTTGTGAAGATGAGGAACATAAAACGAAGAAATTATTAGTTTAATTCACTTTTTAGATCCAGCAGTCATTCATATTCATATGACGACCATTAATAGATAATTTAGCGGTAATAATAGAATTATTGCTATATTATATTTTGTGACAATAATATAATCATGAATATTTATAATCAATATTCTATATAACGCCGCTAGATTTTGTATTAGTGGACATATTCTAAATGAGCTTAATTGTAGCAATATCGACCCATCAAGCCAGTGTAGTGTATTTCGAATAGTTTAGGTCATGTTTTTCAAGTGTGGTTAAAGGCTTAATATATAGCTTTATAGTGCTCTTTTCGTTTATTTTTACTTCTTTTAGTATTGATATGATATATTCTTCTTAAAGAGCGATAAATAGTATTAATGATAATTTTATTATATCATTTTTTAATTAATATAGTAATTTGAGAAATGATTAAACTTAATTATATTGATAAATTAAAAACTAAATAATAAATTATTTTTTAATTTTTTAAGCTGAACAAGTAAAATAGAGATTGATTTTCAATATATATAGTGAATAAGTAAAAGTTAACAGACGGAGTATTTATTTTCCTTTTCAACTTCCCTGGATCTTCTTGCTCTTCTCGATCATATTTTGTGAATGCTTGCAAATAATAAATGAGAGAAGTATTAAAAACATTCCTAAATTCGACGCGAATTATTAGTTTGATCCTCGAGTTATTGACAACCATAAAAACACT